AGAGGTGGAGTATTCCCCTGTGTACAGATCTGGGAAGTATGTAGTTGTCCTTTATTCTCCTGACCCTGTCCGGTCAAGCTTACTCCTAAATTTGAACTCCTGGGGCGAAAACCCAGTGTCTCTTCCCTAGCTATGTCTCTGCTCAGCAGGGTTTAATCTTAACCTGTCTTCATCAGGGCATAGCCCAGAGGCACCCTTTATATAGGAAACAATTTAGGAATGTAAAACAGGAACACATCTGAAACTTTTGCTCTCCAGAGGGACTACAACTCTTCCAGTCCTTTATGCTTGGCTGTGGATTCCTGGAAGTTGAAGTCCAAAACATCTGGAGTGCCAAAGCTTTGAACATGTGCAGAGGACCAAGAGTCCAAAACATCTGGAGTGCCAAAGCTTTGCCGCACCTGCTCTAGAACATGTGCAGAGGACCAAGGATCAGGCAACTGCCACTGCTGCCATCACTGAGGGCAGAAAGCCATTTGTTGCTGGCAGTGCAGCACCTTTACTTCTAATAAACATTACTACATTACATTACTAGGCAAGGATTAATCCCTCTGAGAGTTTCCTGCATGAACCACCACAGGCAGAGAGCACCGCCTGCTGGCAGACGGCCGCTGTGGAGCCAATATCTGCAGAAAGCCATCCCTCGCTTGATGCGTAACTTTGGACTACAACTCCTGCCACTCTCGAGCAGCATCATGTGAGCTGCGTTGAATAAGACTGGAATGAAAGTTTGTACCTATGCTCCAGAGACTCTGAAGTCAGCTCCAGTCTTCTGCTCATTTGCAAAAGGGCACAGAGAGGAGGAAAATATCAATATAGATGGCTCTGTTGAAGTCTCAGGGGCCTGTCTCTGTGGATAAACAGACGGGTGTGGAGATTAATGAGAATTCTATGTGTCGAAATACACTCCTAGACTGAAAAGCCAAGAAAAAGCCATAAATTTGGCAGAAAATATAGGGCTGTTATTGCTTCTCTCCATGTGCGGTGTATCACTGAAAGGCAGAAAAGCGTGGTGGAGTGGAATGAATGAGGCAGGGCTCAAGAGAGCTGGTGTCAAATCCCTGCTCAACTCACTGGGGGCAACAGCAGTGTGTAAATTACTCCCTGAACATCTCAAAAATCCTATTACGGACCCAATAAATCAGAACAAAATTGACAGTACGTAATAACTACTACAAAATAAGAGGGGGGGAGAGTGAAAATACCCTTTCATATTTCCAGGTACTGTTTATTGAAAGTCACATTCTACAATAATACTGCTGTAAAATGGCTAGATCCTAGTCATTTGAGATTAGTGGCTGCCCCAAGTTTTGATCTCATTTTTTGATCACGTCACCTCCGTGATAGACAGAGGGAATGCTGTAGACGTAGTATATCTTCCCTTCAGCAAAGCTTTTAATAAAGTACCCCATGACCTCCTGATTAGCAAGCTAACTAGGTGTGGGCTGGATAGATCAAGTATCACGTGAATACACAATTGGCTACAGAATCGTATTCAGAGGGGGATTATTAATAGGTCCTTCTCTAACTGGGAGGAGGTAACTAGTGGGGTACCTCAAGGCTCAGTCCTTCAATATCTTTATTAAGGACCTGGATGAAGGAGTGCAGGGAATGCTTGTCAAATTTGCAGATGATACCAAGTTGGGTGGTATAGCTAACACCCTATAACAGCGGCCCCCAACTTTTTCAGTCCGCAGACTGGCTGGGGAAGGTGAAGCACCCCCGCTTGTGCACATGGGCGAACAAGCACTCTCTCTCTTGCACGAGCGCCACGCCTGCCCGTGCAACCGCTGTGCTGCCGTTTACGCATGTGCATGCATGCTCGTGCGCATGCACAAATGGTGGCGTGGCACTTGCATGGGTGTGCTGGAGCTTGCACACAAGTGCAAACAGGCTGTGCGGGGGTGAGCGTGTGCAGGAGTGGGGTGGGAGGTCTGTCTCGATGGTTTGGTCCAGCTCAGGCCACGGACAGGCACTGGGCCGCAGACCAGGGGTTGGGGACCTCTGCCCTATAAGACAAAACAAAAGCACTGGGCCGAAAGCAACAGAATGAAATTCAACAGGGATAAGTGCAAAGTACTGCACCTTGGAAAAAGATACCAATTTCACATTTACAAGATGGGGGAGACCTGGCTCAGCAAAACTATGAGCGAGAAGGATCTTGGAATTGTCATAGATCACAAGCTAAATATGAGCCAACATTGTGATGTGGCTACAAAAAAGGCTAATGCTATTTTACGCATAGAAGTAAAGTTTCCAAATCCTGCAAGGTGCTAGTCCCCCTTGATCCAGCACTGGTTAGGCCTCACCTTGAGTTTTGTGTCCAGTTCTAGACACCACGCTTCAAGAAGGATGCAAAGAAATTGGAACAAGTTCAGAGGAGGGTGACAAGGATGATCAGGGGGCTGGAAACTAAACCCGATGAGGAAAGACTGAAAGAATTGGGCATGTTTAGCCTTGAGAAAAGAAGACTGAGGGGGTGATATGCTAGCACTTTTCAAATATTTGAAAGGCTGTCATACAGAGGAGAGACAAGATCTGTTCTCGATCATCCCAGAGTGCAGGACACACAGCAATGGGCTCAAGTTAAAGGAAGCCAGATTTCAGATGAATATCAGGAAAAACGTCCAAACTGTTAGAGCAGTATGACAGTGGAAACAATTACCTCGGCAGTTGGTGAGTGCTCCAAGAAAAACTCCAAGGCATTCAAGAAAAACTTGGATAATCACCTGGCAGATCTGCTTTGATTGTATTCCTGCACTGAGCAGGGGGTTGGACTTGATGGCCTTGCAGGACCCTTCCAACGTCCACTTTTCTATGATTCTATGATTCACCGGATCTGTATGTCTCAGGGCACATTCTCTTTCTGTGTCTCCAAGGCTGAAAAATAGCAGCTGATATAAAATTATACAACAAGTAGAGACCCAAACCCGAACCTTTTCTGTTCATTACGCACTGCTCTGACTGCGGCCCCACCCTGTTGCTCCTGGCCCAGTTACTCTCTCCTGCTCTCCAGAGTTGATCTGAACTTCCCTTTCTTCCTTTAGTCTTTAACCTTTTGATTCCTTCAAGGTCATCCTTCTTGGTTTAAGATGGAGTTGGCATGGAGGTGAACATACTTGTGCCCTACAAAACCGACAGCCAGGATACGGCCAGAGAACTGGCTGTCAATTCATAGGTCATAGCTGTGTGCCCTCAACCCAGGCAGTGCCATTCCAACGCGGCCGTCACTCACTCCCTTTTGAATCCAGTTGGCTGAGCACCAGGTCCTCCCTCTACTGTCCCTCTGCTGACCATCGCTGGTTCTCATGGCCTTCTTCTGTCTCTGCTTTTTCTATAGTCAGTGGGGGGTGTAGATCAATAGAAATTAAAAAAAGGTAAAACGTATTTTGCATGCAGTACCCAGGGCCTCTGCATAGGGTTGATAAAGGCCCCTGGGCAGCTGCTTGTAGACAGTATGGAGCTAAATGAAGTGCAAGCCAGACTTTGTTTCCAAAGTATAAGGATTAGAACCTCATTTTAGGAGAAAGACCACAGTGCGGTGGTAGAACATATGATTTTGAGGCAAAAAAAAAAATCCTAGTTTCACACACTCCCCATAATCTCCTTATACAGCTGGCGATGATTGTTTCCTGATGTCTAAGTGTAATGTTTGTATAAAGTTATGACGTCACAATTTTTACCTCCAATTCCTTTCCTAGTGGTCCACTGCCATACACTCAGGTTTCTCTTCCACATCATCTCTTCTTAGCTTAGAGTTTATCCATATAGATGTGAAGTTGAGATGTTTTGTCTCAAGGGGCATGGATTTACGCTGCCTTTCATGGGAACTCATGTGCCCATTTCATCCACTTCTTTGGAAATTTTCTCCTCCTTCTCCTAGATGGCTGTGATCCTCCTGGAGGTTTTGGCTGTGATCCTTGTGGAGGTTTTTGCTGTCCTTGTTTAAAAATGATATTTTACCCACCCTTTTAAAAGACACCATGCCTTCCACACAGAAAAGGCCACCTCACTTCTTACCTCAATCCCACATGGTTCACAATCAGGTTAAAAAAATGCTGGCCCCAAGACAGAGCCTCCGGTCATCCAGGCTCAGTGTTGTAATGGGGCCACAGATCTTTCTTTCTGGTCAATGTTCCCATTCCGGAATTTGTTTCATTGTGGTTTTGATGACCTCTTTATCATATGTCTTTGGTTTGATTTGCAACTCATAGTTATAAAACCCCAGTGGGCTCAGCATCAGGCTGCAGGGATGTCTACTTCCTGGGGCAGAAGACACAGAGGAGAAGAGCTGACATCTGTTCTGCACATGGCTAAAAAAACTGAAGGATAAATAGACATCTTTTATCCTTTTAATGGTTTAGGACTTTGATACTTGCTGGAATGATTCTCCCAGCAATCAGCTCCCCATTCCACCCACTCCTCTTAATCCGTGTTATTAAAAGTGGCTATACTGAGGGAGGCCAAAAAGGGGACCACAAGGAATCATGCCTTTTTGGTGGTGGCCCCTCCAGTCTCTTAAACACGTTACCAACAGAAATATGGCAGGCTTCTTCCCTCTTTATGGTCAGGGAATTGGTAAAGACAGAATGCTCTAAAGCTGTTTTTAACAACGGAATCTCCTAGAGGCTGCTAAATTTGTGGGTAAGGATTACATATTTTATATTTATGATGTAAATAATTTTGTGTGTTAACATATTGTATTTGACTTTATTTTTGTTACAGTGGACCCTCTACTTACGGAATTAATCCGTATTGGAACGGTGGCTGCAAGTCAAAAAGTCTGTAGGTCGAATCTCCATTGATCTACAATGCATTGAAAACCGATTAATCCCATAACTGGCAGTTTTTATTCTATTTTTGTTCCATTTTGGTTTTTTTCTGGTCTGTAAGTCGATTCTCCGGCTGCAAGTCGAATCTAAATTTTGTGGCCAGAGAAGTCTGTAACTCGAGAAGTCTGTAAGTCGAGCCGGCTGTAAGTCGAGGGTCCACTGTATGTGGGAGGCCTGAGGGTTTTAGGTTTTAACCTGTAAACCATCCAGCTTGCAATAATGGGGTATATATAAATCCAATCCAATCCAATCCAGTCAATCAACCAATCTTTTACATCTCAAGGAAGTTCCAATTATAATGACACGCTAACTGGAAAAGCATTACCCATTCATTGGAATGTACTGGGATGGGGTTAAGATCATGCGCTCAGACCTATATAGATCAGAATAAAAAAAAACATTGCCACACATAATTTTGCATTGCCCAGCCAGTGCACAGTGGCCACAGGTGATAGGCCTGCAGCATGGAGGGCTAATATTCCCCCTCCCCACCACACTGTTGTGTCCTCCTGGAGCCCCGCGTGGTGCCACATGTCTTTTGAGTGCCCATCCAAAATAACAGCCTCCCCACTGGAATGATGTGACGCTTCCACATGGAGTTGCTGTTACAGCCGATAGGCACCCTTGGTCTGGGCAAGAACTCTGTGCGTGCTTCTCATCCACAAGGGCCTTCTGGATCTCTCTCTCTCTTGGACATGCTGTGTTTGTGTGTGTTGGAGATGAACTACCTGCGGGGGGGAAAGAAACCAAAGTTAGTTGATTCTGCTCCCAAGGGACAGGATTTCAGCCTTTGAGTCTTTGTACGGAAAACAAAACAAGAAATGTAAGAAACCATAATTCTGTACTGTAATACAGTCAACCCTCGACTTACGAACGGCCCTAGTTATGAACATTTCGACTTATGAACCACTCTGATAGGAAAATATTGCCTCGACTTGCAAACTTTGCTTTGAGTTACGAATGGGAAAACGCGTGGGAGAAGGGGAAAACGCAAAATTTGAACTTTTCAATGTGTTCTGTTCAAAAGGTGTTTGTCCTTGCGAACTTTGCTTCGAGTTACGAATGGGAAAAAATGCGCGGGAGATGGGGAAAGCGCAAAATTTTAACTTTTCAACGTGTTCTGTTCAAAAGGTGTTTGTTTCCTCCTACCCTCCCTCTTTTCTTTCCTTTTTTTAAAAACCTAAGTCATCTTGGGTTAAAAGGGGGGAAAAATCTGTCCCTGGTGATAGGAACAGATTAACCAGCTTTGCATTACTTCCTATGGGAACTAATGCTTCGACTTACAAACCGCCCCTCGACCTAAGAACCAAAAATAGCCGGAATGGATTAATTGGTTTTCAGTGCATTCCTATGGGAAATTTTGCTTACAAACGTCCTTCCGGAATGGATTAAGTTCGTAAAATTGAGGGTTGACTGTAATACCTGTGATAGAGTGGCTAGAGTGTCAGACTAAGACTCAGGAGACCTGGGTTCAAATCCTTGCTCTGCCATGGAAGTGCACAGGATTGGCAATGGTAAAACCAATCTCATTGAATATCTCATGTACAGTACCTTGAAAACTCTACTAGGGTAGCTGTAAGTCAGACATAACTTGACAGCATATGGCTAATGAAAACCTGCACATAGAACAGGATCTGTTCTCAGGTGCTTATCTTTTTCCCACTGTTTCTGAGGTCAGTTTAGGGCAAGAACAGGGCAATGGGGGTGTATACGCCTAGTCTCTTTGCAGCAAGGGGTGGTCAAGATGCAGGCTAGCTGTGACACCCACGTCCCCTCAGGCCCCGCAACACTTATTTAAAAGAAGGAAACATGTGGAGCAGCAGTTTTTACATAGAACAGATGGGGGGGGGATTTCCAAGCCCTGCCCAAACCCCTAAAAAGCAAAAGCAAAAGGGAGGACTTGGCCATGCCCAGCTTTGATTCTCCCCCTCACCAAATTCTTTTGACATCTTTTCCACATTTCTGGGCCTGTTTAAAACTGTCACAGGTGGAGGGTTGGAGGTGGTGGTAAAAAAGATGCGCCAAAAGCTACACACCTTCCCCCATGCCATGAATAAAATCAAATGAACAAATCACTTTAAACCTGGGAAACCTTTGTACTACAAGTCCCAGAATCCCCCAAAAGACCATGATTACTGAGAGTGATGGGCCTTGCAGTCCAGCTACCTGGTAGGCACTAGATAGTGAAAGCCGGGGGAGAAAAGGCTGCTTTCTCTCCCCTCTGCGGGCAAAGTCAACCTTCAGTTCTAGCACAGAAAATGTCAATAAAAATGTCCACTTCCTTTGGGTTCACAGCCATAAAGTCAAGGTAAGCCGTTTTGGGGAGCCCAGAGGCCCGTTTCTTTCAGACACTCAAACCTGTCATGGGCTGGATGGAAAGCAGTGGCAAGCTGGGGAAAGCCGTAGAGAGGCTGTTTCAGTGAGGTTTTCCCTCTCCCCACCTCCCACACCACATTTAGGCAGCAAAGTGCAATAAAATAACATAACATAAAATAAAAGACCCTTTCTTGAAAAAAAAATCCAGTTTGCTTGCATGGCATTACTGTCACATGTCAGTAGAGTATCCTTGCCATCTCTGTGCTGGGCACGCACACAGAAATCTGTAAGCAAGGAAACCTCGGAAGACAAACCAGCTCTTGGGCAGTTCCCGGGCACTTCAGGAGAACTTTGCCCAGGTCCCTTGGCACCCGGAGCCAGCCCTGCTTAATAGCCGTGTAATAAAGAGGTGGAACCAAGGGACTCTGGACCTTTGCTTGTTCGGGGCAAATGGACTTTTGCAGGAGGGCGAACCAGAAAACAAACAAGGAAGACCCAGCTTGGCCTCAGAAGGCTAAGAGAGTGTCATCATGGGCCGACCCTGGGAGATTAAACAGGGTTTTAACCGCTTTAATGACTGTCACGGTTTCATGAGACAGGAAAACACTATCTGAGAAAAATCTGTATAGGAACAAGGACTGTAAGCTAACCGGGCGATTCTCACCCACGATTCAAGGGGGATGTTAGAAAGAAGTTGGCTGAGACAGTCCAGAAATGACAACACAAACCCTGAATAAAACAGAGGGAGGTAAATCTATTGCCTAAAAGGGAATCAAGACAAACAGACGGTGTTTGTCTGGCGGCATTTCCTCCCTTCACGAGTGAGCCCAGGCCATGCATGGGCTACGCCAGCGAGACCCCCTTTCCTTTCCTGGAAGCTCACGAGTTCTCTTATATAGTGCAGTAATGTTAGACAACTTGTGACGGGAGCAGGGAGGGTGCTCCACTGCCAACATTTTGGGTGGTGGGGGCAGGAGGCCACGCCTGGGCAGTAAGGGGGTGGTTTTAGTTACTGCCCCACAGACAGCCTTGCCTAAGGAGCTGGTGGGCCAAGTGTTTATTTTATTTTCTTTTTTTGGCCCAGAGAGCTATAAGCCTTTACATGAACAAACCAAGGGTCCCTTTCTCTCTTTCTCTCTCTCTGATGCTGTTAGCTTGGTAGCAAGAAGCCTATTCACGGGGGGGGGGGGGGAGAGGACAAGGCTTGTGTTATGAAGTGGAATGGCGCCGTTATTTCCTCAGAGGCTGCCGGCCTGGACATTTGCTGCCTGAGGCAGAAAGGCCAACGGCACCCATTTCCATTCTAGGCCGAGTGGCCCGCCGGCCAGGGCCGACTAATCCGTTTGGGGCCTCGAGGAAGCAAGGGCCGTCAAAACGACAATGGCGGTAGCGAAGAAGAGGAGGAAGAAGAAGTGTTTACTGCTGACCTATCTTGACCATTCCCAATCTGTGGGTTGGGCCGCTGTCCGAGGGCAGGCCTCGGACTTGCTCCAGACGACTGAGGGGACCCACAGTGGCCCACACACTGGGCTTGGGGTGGCCAATACTGTACCCCTCTCCAGCTGGGGGAGGGATTTTTGCCAAGAACAGGCAACCCCCCCTTCCCTAGGCTCCCCACGGTTCCCCTCTCTCTGTCTTGTGGGGGGGGTGGACACAGAGCCAACGTGCAAGCCACAGGACCTTTGAAACATCCCACCCCTCCTGGCCCACAGGAATACGTTCTGAGTGGGCTGCCAAGATTTCCTTTTCAATATGTTTTTAAATGCTTCCTATTTGTTAATTTGTTTTCATATAATTTTTTTTTAGAAAATGGCTCTCTTTTTTGGCATGTTGTTTCTCCCTTTTTAATGATTCGTGAGCTGCCTTGAGTCCCTGAAGAAAGGTGGCACAAAAGTGCAACAAGCAAGCAAGCAAGCAAGCAAGCAAGCAAGCAAGCAAGCAAGCAAGCAAGCAAACAGGAACAGGGACTGTGAAAAAAAGAAAGGAAACCCCCTTCCCCCCCCCAAAAAAAGACCTTTGTACTGCCCTTCCCACATAAATGTCACCTGCATGACATAAATGTCACAGCACACAGTTCAATCAGACTGATACCCGTTTCGTTGCCAGCACTTTCCTCCTATAGAATCATTTTGGAGGAAGACTCTGGTTTTGGAAAGGGAACTAGGGAACTCAAAGTTTTCCCCTGGACTACAAATCCCAGGAGACCATAGGATGATTGAGAACCGGCAGAGATATCGGACGGATGCATCCGTCGCGTTGATAAGCTTGCCCTTGGGAGCACTGGTGGGTCGACGGGACCAGCCATGGGGGGAAAGAAAGGGAAAGAGAGTCTGGTCTGAGAGCAATCAGAGAACACGTTTGGGGTGAACTTTCAGACTTTGTGGAAACCAGCAAAAAAGCCACATGTATGAGCCCCCCCCGCCATCTTTTTGTTCTATATGAGGGAGAGGCTGGTGTCCAGTTAATTGCGGACATCCGAGTAGCCAGAACTTCAGGGCTGACATTCTGTGCCTCAGCTTCTCTCCACCATTTTTTCCAAGCTGCATTTTCTTCTTTCCCCTCAGGAGAGGCGTTTCAGCATGCTTGGCCAAATCAGGCACCCCTTGGGACGGAGTAAGTGGATTTTTGACCCAACAAAAGCTGGCACTGAAATAAATCCATCACAATGTTTTGCCCTTTTTCTTCCTTCCTTTCCTTCTTTTTCTTTTTTTTTAAAAAATTCTTTTCTCCCTTTAACTTTTCCCAACCCTGAAGACATGGAAATCGAGTGTTTCTCAAATCACGCACAGTTTCCAAAAAGTCAGTGTGGAGTAATTAGTGGTGACCGAAGTTCCAGATTATCTAAGTTCATTTCCCCATGACTCAGCGGCAAAGCTCAAGAGGTGACTTTGGGCTGCCTCCCTCCCCCTCCTCACTCTCTTTTAGCCTACCTCTCAGGGGTGTACAGTGGAGGAAACAGGTGCGGAAAGAACTGTGCAGGCACTCCTTGAGATCTGAGGACCACATCTGAGACTAAAACAAAATAGAGCAAATGCAATGCATAATAAAACATTCCAGTCAGCCATCAGTTAGAAATGTTTATACAGTCCCTTTTACAAACTCAGAACTGCCCCCCTCCACTCATCCAATCTCCACCTAAGGATACGAACAAAATCAAATTATGCCCCTTCAAGCAGTCATGATTTGGCCACTTTACTAGTGGCCAAATCATGACTGCTTGGAGGGACCCCAAAAACTGGCACCTTCCTGATGTGTGGCCTCTAAGACATCTGTGCCCAGAAAATGGGGGGGAAGTGGGGGGGGTGGAAAGTAGGAGAAAGCCTTGCCTGCCGAGCCCAGCTACACTGAAGGGTTGCAGGAAGAGGTGAAGGAGCTTTAGACAAGGCAGAGTGGGAAAGCAGAGGTCGTGGGGCTATGAGAAAGAACCTCACCTTTGCCAAAGGTCCACTGCACGGCTGGCCTGCACCTTTAGGAACGCAGAGAGAGAGAGAGATCGGCTGCCCCCTCTCCCAGCCCATGGACCTGGCTCATAAAGCACGGGCGGGTTAATGATTCTCCCGGCTGCAAATATTTGATAAGCGTTCATGGGACTCAAAGTACAGCACCCAGGAAACTCTGACCAGCCACTCCAGAGAGAGGAACCGCCTGAATCCTATCCCTGCGTTCCCCCAACACGGTCTGGCTGTATCTCAGAGCATGAAAAAAGATGATGATGAAGATGCTTAGGATGACAACTCTCAAAAACCCCAGCAAACGGAACCCGTAACCTTTTGGGTGCGAAAAGCGGTCCCGTGAAGAAGTCACATAACGAGATTTGCTTCCACTCAAGAAATTCTAAGTCCCTCCCTGTCGCCGCAGCCTCTCACTCATCCTCCCATTCTTCTGAGATTATCCTTTGTTGGGACCACTTTCTGCTTTGCCATCTTTTGAATGGAAGATTTCCAGGAAGCCAGCAAACATTAAATTATTTTTCTGTTCCTTTACAAAAGGAGATGGCAGGGTTCATCACTGCTTCCAAGTGTATACAGCCTTTTCCACTCTGGAATACTCTTTCCTTAGTCCTGAATCCATTCTCATTTTGTTAGTAGACAGGAGAGTGCACTCTGCTTGTACTCAGAGGAACACCTGAACATTATTTTAACTTTAGCACTGTAGGAGATTCCTGGAGCAGTGGTTAAAACTGCAGTATTGCGGCCTAGACTCTGCTCATGGCCCGAGGTCAATCCCAATGGGCTCAAGGTAAGCCATCTTGAGGTTGACTCAACTTTCCATCCTTCCAAGGTCAGTATAAATGGTAAAACCACGGCATAAATAAATTGTAAAATGCACAATGGGACGTTTTATAAGCATTGCACTTTGCTTTCTGCTTTTCCTACTCATTCATTCATTCATTCGTTTTATGTCATTTATTTCCCATCTTTCTTCCAAGATGTCCAGAGGCTATCCTTCCGTTTTATTCTACCCTGTGAGATTAATGACTAATTGGGGATTACCCAAGGAACTTCATGGACTGATCGTGGGTCCTTTCACTCTAACCTTTATACCGCAGTGTCTTTTTTTTTATTAGTCTCCTTCAGCCCTACCTGGGGTTTGGAAGACAGCATCTAGGAATGGGTAAGGCCTCCATAACAAAGAGGTCTGATGACAAAAGGAGATTTAGGACAGTAATAAAACAAAAGGACTAATCATCAGGCTTCCTATTGCCTTCTAGAGGTGAGCTACTGTACAGTGGACCTTCTACTTACGGAATTAATCTGTATTGGAACAGTGGCTGCAGGTCGAAAAGTCTGTAGGTCGAATCTCCATTGACCTACAATGCATTGAAAACCGATTAATCTGTAAGCAGCCGTTTTTGTTCCGTTTTTGTTCTGTTTTGGTTTTTTTCTGGTCTGTAGGTCGATTCTCTGGCTGCAAGTTGAACCTAAATTTTGCGGCCAGAGAAGTCTGTAATTCGAAAAGACTGGAAGTCGAGCCGTCTGTAAGTCGAAGGTCCACTGTATTTCCTTTTTCTTGCCAGGAAGAGGGAAAAGTCCTTGTGGGATTTTCCTTACCCTCTCAGCAAAATGGGCTGTGCCCTTGGAGCCGTTTCCTGTGCTGCCTCAGGCAGCGAGATATTTTGGGACAGCCACATGGTTCCACCGGGCCTCAGTTCTAATCTAGTCAGAAAAAAAACCAACCCTCTGCACTTTAGGATGCCGAGACCCAGGCAGGACAGGGTGACAGCTTTGGGCAGGTCCCACAACATTTGGATTTCACAACAGGAATTGCGTAAAAACAAATATAAGTAAAAAAGCACAGTACACAATCCTGTGAAAACACCATTAAATAAGTTGTATTCGAAACAAGTGCATGAATAAAAACCATTAAAAAGTACCAAAAAAGTAGGGAAATGGAAAGAAAAAATATGATACTCACCCTTAAAAAGATTCTTTCTCAGCGGAGTCTCTGGCCTTTAGACCAGTCAAACCTGGGCAACTCTTGAAAGTCCGTGCCTTGACCATTGCAGGCTTGGATCCTGCCTGGGGCTGTGGGTCTCCTAGTCCCACTTCTCTCCTCCAGCATTTCAGCAAGATTCACTAGTAGGGGGGGGGGGGAGAGAAAGAGAGATTGCCATATGTCTCTCCCCCCCTTAGTTATTTGAAATGGCTACAGAGCCAGTTGGCTGGCTGGCTGGCTGTTGGAGGAGGGAGGCTCCTTTATGCACCCTTATCTCCTGGGGCAGAAGGGTGGGGACTAGACCAAGCAAGGCTTGCAGGCTTTGAAATGGGTGTATCTGCATTACACAGTTCTAGCGGTGTGATCCCACTTTGGAGCATCGTGGTGCCATACTGCAGAACCCTGGGATCTGTAGTTTTGGTGAGGGGCTAGATAGAAATTCTTGGCTAGGGCGCTGTAGCGCTCTAGTTCAGCAGAGAAAACTAAGTTTCCCCTGCCAGGCTACAGATCACAGGATTACACAGGAGGGAGGCATGAGAGGGAAAGTGGAACCAAATTTTTATAATCGTATACTGCAGGCACACATGCACACACTTCTCCTCCTCCTCCTTCCCCTCCTACTCCCTCCTTTCTTTAATATACTGTACAGACTTTGGTACAGACTTTCAAATAGAGCACCACCCACTGTAAAAGCAGAGACATAGTCATCAGACCCCATGCTCGCTGCTTCATGAGCTACCCCACATGTAGGGTGGCCATGTGCCCCCTTTTATGGATTTCAGTCCTCCCTGTGAAGGGCTGGTAGAATCAATCTCTCTTTTTCAAAGCATCATCATTAAAAAGAGCCGTCCTGTCCAAGTTTGATTTAAAGAGAAAGACTCAAGAAGGGTGACGAAGGAGAACATTGAAGCTGCTCATCAAATTTGAGACATACATCACCCGACCACAGTCTCCATTCAGATGAGGTGTACTGTAATTCCTTCCTAATTCTGCAACTGCACATAGTAATTGGAATATTCTGGAATGTAGACATATAAAAGATAAAAAGGAGGGTTTTTAGGAAGAGCAAATACCCCTGGATAAAATACTATTAGAAACAAATGATAAATTGATTTTAAAAATGTATGAATTGTTATTAGAAATTAAGATGGAAGATGAAGTGGTAAAATATTGTATGACCAAACAGGTGCAAAATATAGGGCATAATATTGATATTGATGACTGGGAAAATATGAAAAATTAATATAAAAATTACAAAATCGATAAACTTTAAAGAAAAAAAAATAAAATGTTCTACAGATGGTACACAATAAATATATAAAATGTTCTACAGATGGTACACAACACCAGATAAGTTGTCAAAAATGTATAAAGGTACATCAAATATATGCTGAAAATGTAAATTAAAAAAAGGGATCCTTGTATCATATGTGGTGGACATGTATGAGTTGTGATTGGGTTTGTTGGAAGGCTGGAGCGGTTCCTCCTTTTTGGCAGTAAAAACCCACTGAGATTCTTTTGAAAGATTAACAGGTTTTTTTTTTTGCTTTAACATTTGGTGATTCAACAATCACTTCTACAAAATCAAAACAGCTAAGATGAGGTAACTGTCCATAAGGTGAAGATGAAAATCCAGATTGTAAATTAGGGAAGTTTATTGAGGGGCTGGTCCAAACCTTTCCCCGTCCGTGGACTTCCTCAGTGGAGCACTCCGCACTGCGCATATTGTGCTGCCACAGGGGTATCTGACCGAATCTCCCTCTCTCGGTGGTTGATTGAAGGTTGGATCCGGTCTGATTACCTTCCTCCAATGACCTTGCCCTCGGGGGAAAGACCACCGCTGTCCATTCTTGAGTCTCCGTTACTGTCACTTTCTCTTCCTTTAGATCAGGGTCTGGCAATAACCGTCCCACTTTTCAGTTAGGAAAGTCCTCTAGTAGCCCCCACACTTTCCTCTAGTAGCCCGCATGCTTTCCTGTACCTGAATTCATCCTCCTTCGTCTCTCTCTCCCTTCCTTTGTCCTTCCTTGTTTCCCTTCTAGGGATGCTGAAAACTCTCTTCCTCTCCTGATCTTTTATACAGCATCCTCCTCCCATACTGGTAGAATTAACTCCTCCTCCTCCTCCTCTTTCTCCTTCCCTTCTTCTACCAAACAGATATATGTCTTTGTCTCTTTCTCCTTTGACTCCTTTCCTTCTCTCTCTTCCACAATCAACTCTTCCTTTTCTCTCTCTCTCTTTTCTCTCCCTCTTTCTCCGAAGTTCCTATTCGAGGGGACGGCTCACTCTGTTCTTTTTCTCTCTTTCCTATTTCTCCTTCACAGTAGTGAAGCAAAAAATTATTGGATACTAATATATGAATGTTTACAGAAAATTCTGCTACGTAATATACTATTTAAACCAGAATTATTCTTATTAAATATGCTGCCAGAGAGTTTAGATAGGAGAGCCATTTGGTGATACATATAATAACTGCAGCCAGAATACTATACGCATGGAAATGGAAGAAAACCAAAACACCAAATCTTGAAGAACTAGTGGAAAACATTATGGAAGTGGCAGAGATGGGCATACTAACAGAAGCTTTGAAAAGACAATTAAATCCAAGACGCATCTGAAAAAAATGGGACCCTATATGTAACTGGAGCCATTCCACAACCTGAAAGCCAAGTGTGATAATTTCTAATACAAAATAGTCAAATAACACGAGTTGGAATTATATAGGCAACTAACAGACACGAAAGTCTTTAATGTGATGATATGTTTAAGTACAGATAATATGTGATAATGTACAGGATGATAATCCTGTAATCCTGAGTTATTTCCCTTTACCCTTGAAATAAATCAATAATTTTTAAAATATATATATATTCCTTTTTATGCAAATGGGTACCTTCTCCCTTCTTCTATGCAGACTCCCCTTTAGGCGACATGTCCCTGGCCACCCACCAATGGCAGTTCGGAGGAGGATGCCGAGCTCTACCAATGGAGAGCAGCTTTCTGGCCAGGCAGCTTCCCCAAATGCCCCCGGCAGGCAGGCCTTGGGGGGTGATGGGA